ACTGCACGAATCACTATTCGGATCAGTTGCCGACGATCAGCGCCTCATGATTTGGGACACACGTTGCAACAACACATCGAAGCCATCACACACCGTCGACGCTCACATTGCTGAAGTGAATTGCTTGAGCTTCAATCCATACTCGGAATTCATTCTGGCCACTGGGTCAGCCGATAAAACTGTTGCTCTGTGGGACTTGCGTAATCTCAAACTGAAATTGCACTCGTTTGAGTCGCACAAAGACGAAATTTTCCAAGTTCAATGGTCGCCACATAACGAAACCATTTTGGCATCGAGCGGTACCGATCGCCGTTTGCACGTGTGGGATTTGTCGAAAATTGGAGAGGAGCAATTTGCTGAGGATGCCGAAGATGGTCCGCCAGAGTTACTGTTCATTCACGGTGGCCACACTGCTAAGATTTCAGATTTCTCGTGGAACCCCAACGAACCATGGATCATTTGCTCCGTTTCGGAAGACAACATTATGCAAATTTGGCAAATGGCTGAGAACATCTACAACGACGAAGAACCAGAAATACCAGTCAATGAACTCGAGCAACCCGCCGCTTAATTTTAACCAATACATCTCTTTCATTTCAAATCTAACATTTTCAGTTATTTTATAAAATACTTCTCAATGACTTCAGATAATCACAAACCATTCCTTCATCTGCTCCAACCCTATTGATGTCATCGTAGTCTAAGAATAAATACCAGGTTCAATGAAATGATAGTTGCTTTTGTTTTTAAATTGATGAATAAACTTTCTCTTTTAATTTAAAAGATTTATTGAAGGTTCATTTGTTATTTTACAAGATACGATCAAGCCAAGAAAAACTATTATTTCCGGTGGCCTCTGCCCTTTTTCTTTTTTTTAGCGCCTCTGGCTGTATTCTTTTTGTGCTTTTCTCGTTTGTTTTGTAGTTTGATTCGCTTATCCTTTTCAGCATGCGCTTTCTTCCTACTTCGATTGCCCTCTCTTTAGTCTCTACATCTCCACTTTGTTTGCCTTAATAAACTGGCCGATTGGCGCCTATCCAATTATTCGATTTGGCTATTTCATCGGTTGAAAGTTCAACGATTTGCACTGTTACATTCTCTGTGTCATATTCTTCTTCCTTTAGCTTTCCTTCCAATTCGATGGGTTCGAATGATTTTTTGAATTGATCTTGAAAACCGTCTCGAATCTGAAATTAAAGCATGTTTAGTCGACTCTGCGAATGAAGTAAAGTAATTCACAGTTTTACCTCTTGCTTGATACGCTTTCGTTCTTCCTTCACTTGCTTATCCAAGTCTTCTTTGGCTTTTTGTCGTCTTTCCTGCTTTCGCTTACGAAAACCAGTCAAAAATTCGCTGGAGAAACATAAACAACACCAATTTAGAGGTTAGATTCACAACATCGTCAATAATATGATGTTCCGAGATATTTGGTATGAAAATCGACTTACCGCCTTTTCTTGGGATCAAAAACCAATTCAGTCTTTTTCTTTTTACCACCCTTTGGCTTTGCCAAGTCTATGGTATTGTCGTTGTAGTTAGAAGCACACAACACACACTCGGTTGATTGTTGTCGCAGAGTATAAACATGAGGATTTGATTGTCAACGTGCGAACGACTGTTTGACATAAGCAGCAATTGAGATACGCACACCAGGAAAGATTTAAAGTAAGATATTTCTTCAAGCTTTTTTCATTCGAGCATTTTCGTCATTTATTGAGAATTTAATTCGGAAACATTTAGAATATTTTAATTGTTACAATTATTGGTTTGGATATATTCAGTTTGTATTGTTGGTGATTTCATCGGGCAGAACTGTTTGTAGTGTTCAAGGGACAGCAACAGCAACAACACTTGTCAAATGACATTTAGGTCGTAAATAAATACAGCAAGCCGGAGTTTCTGAAAAGAAATACATCATACCTATTGACTAGATCGAGAGGAGAGTATGTGAAAAAATTCTAATATATTTTGAAAGAGGAGAGTATGTTTTCTGATGATTCTGTTGGCGTTAAAGAAGAGTATATTGTAGTACCGTCTAGCCTCTGCGGTCTTCACAGTTTTCGCGCAACTGATAGGAGATAACAACATGGTGTCTTCGGCAAAGTTGTAGCACTCGAGGTCTTCTATAACATTGCTGAAGACATCTATCTCTTATCTCTTATCAGTTGCGCGCAAATCGCGCACATAAAAAAGCAAATTTTATATAGAACTTTTTTTTTCTTATCATTTTTCGCGCTTTCCGCGGAACTAATAAGAGATAAGAGATAACTGACTTCAGCAATGTTATAGAAGACCTTGAGTGCTACAACTTTGCCGAAGACACCAAGTTGTTATCTCTTATCAGTTCCGCGGAAACCGTGGAAAACCGCGAGGACCCGCCAAAAATGAACATACTCGCCTTTAACCATTTTTGAGTCGAAAGAAACTTACTCTTCTCTTTCATAACAAAGTCAGATGAACTTACTCTCCTCTCGATCTAGTCAATAGATACAAAGTTCCATTTTCGTTGTGGTAGCATGTTTTTCTAGATTTTTCGTACAAAAATCATTTAAACTGTGTGACGATCGATAGCTATACATACAAAGACGCGATACAAGCAAGCTAGTTTTTTTAATAAACAGAACCAAACAGCATTAAAAAGAAACCATGGCCGATCACGACATTACAAAAATGAAGGTAAAAAATATCAAAGCGATTCGCCGTATCAAACATTTCATTCATCGTTGTGGTTGTTATTGTTGTTCTATTGTTTATTTTCAGGTGGCAGTTCTGAAGCGTGTACTTAAAATTCGTCGTTTGAAAATGACTGGCAACAAAAATGACCTGCTTGAACGACTTGCATCGGCTTTGATTAGTAAGTTCCACCTGAATTTGGTGCAATCGTAATGGTATTTGATTTACAAATGATTATGATTTATAAGACTTATTTAAATATGGTTTTATATTGTTACCTCTAGATCATAGAAAAAATGATGAATATACCAAATTTCAAGTTGCCTTCAATTACTCCTACCACTCGGATCCACAAACAGTAAATTACAGCAAACGAATTGTGCGACCTCAGCAACCACTATTGTCGGAAATGAATGAAAAATGCGATTCAATTGGCGCAATTTCAAACACACCAACAGCTGATGTTGATATCACACAGACAATCAAATTGAATCCGTCTAAATCAGGGAAGATCATTGACTACTATATAGAAAAGAGAGAAACCGCCGAAAAATCCGGACAGAATAATGATAAAGAATATTATGATAAATTACTTCTGGATTTAGAGACAAGAAAATTCAAAATACAAGCAGATGTAGAGAAATTCAAAATACAAGTAGAGGCAATAAAATCATTGCATGGAACCGCTGAAGAATTGGCCAAAGCATTGAAGATTTTGAAAGATTAACACTATGATTGTTCTTGGGGCACCCAGGGCCCGCAGCGAACTTTAAAGTTGAATAAAAGTACTAAGCAGTGTATAAACCAACCGGAGTTAAGTCGCATTGTATAGATTGAACATTTCTCTACACGAATGAAAAAAAACATATACATATGTGTGCACACAGAAATAAAATGTGGTAGGTTTGTGCTATCTATTGGTGAAGATTATGATTACCACAAGTCTTAGAAAAGTTACCCCACGCACCAAACTATTACTATGCACAGAACACATGCATTTTTCGGTTGGAAAATTTTCGGAAAAGCGCTATTGTGGGAAATTGGGAAATCGGGGAATGTTCAGACCAGTCTCAATCGATCGGGCGGAAAATTTCATGTGAGGTACCGACCCGAGGGGCGATTTTCAAGCGAAAAAACCATCCATTCCTGAGATAAATGAAAAAATTCGGAAATATCGGAAGTTTAAATTATAAAAGCAAATTATAGTACTCGACCAGAGCTACAACTTTGCTTTAGACACCATCTCGTTATCTTTTATCAGTTCCGTGAAAAATGATAAGGAAAAAACGCGTTTTTTCGCGGTTTTCTGCGGTTTCTCGCGTATTCCGCGAAACTGATAAAAGATAACGACTTGGTATCTTCGGCAAAGTTGTAGAACAGCTTGAGTACTACAACTTCACCATAGACATCAAGTCGTTATCTCTTATCAGTTACGCAAAAAAACGCGAAAACGCGAGTTCTTGATAATCATTTTTCGCGAAACTGATAAGAGATAACGACTTGGTGTCTGTGGCAAAGTTGTAGTACTCGACCTGCTCTACATTTCTGTCGAAGAGGCAAGTCTCTTACTTCTTATCGGCTTCACTAAAACGAGGTGGGAAAATTTCGCGATTTTCGCGTTTTTTCGCGTTTTTCGCGGAACTGATAAGAGATAAGCAATATTTGTTGCAACAAAATCATAGCAAACCTCGAGTATTACAACTTTGCTTCAGACACTAATTTGTTATCTCTTATAACAGTCCAGATTTCATATGAAATACATATGGGGCCCTGGAGTCCCCCAAGAACAGTAATATGTTGCAAATATGAAGAACAGTCATAGTGTTAATCATACAAATTTATATTTGGATTGTATTGTAAAAATGACTCAGATGTTAGAAGAATTGAAATATTAAATCGATACTTTTCTTACTCATTGACGAAAAAAATGTTTTTGTTTTTTATTTTTGAAGGCTACGACTTGTCATGGAATCCAAATTTGGATGGACTTTCGCTTTCTTGTTTTTATTTTGGATATTACCGCAACACCGAAAGAGCATCGTGTTGTCGACGCTAAGAATATCTTCACCGGTCATACAGCGGTTGTTGAGGACGTTGCATGGCATTTACTGCACGAATCACTATTCGGATCAGTTGCCGACGATCAGCGCCTCATGATTTGGGACACACGTTGCAACAACACATCGAAGCCATCACACACCGTCGACGCTCACATTGCTGAAGTGAATTGCTTGAGCTTCAATCCATACTCGGAATTCATTCTGGCCACTGGGTCAGCCGATAAAACTGT